AAAGGGCCACAAAGGGACATGGACAAATAAAACACTCTTTAAACACCAGCTAAGAAAGCTGTTACATTAAAATAAACTGATATATGGGCTTTCCCATTAGATTATGCCTCTAATTAATCCAATGTGGGACATCAGTGGTTGAATTAATTATTTTGGGAAGACTTTCTCAAGGGAGATAGGAACTCAACACCATCCCCACTGTTTCAGTTTCACAACCTTCTTTAATTTGTAGAGGAAAGGAGCAGAAATATAGACTAAGTATCATGCCGTAAATAGCCCTCCACTTTCCTAAACTCTTTGTTTTCAAAGAATCAGAACTTAAGCATGGTCAACAGGGTGACTTAAGGAAGCTCCGTAACTGAGTCTTACTTGAGTCACTCACTCATCATGAAGTTCTACATACAAAAGCTGAAGGGCCATCTGAAATCTGGAGGGACGAGTTATCTCTGAAAACTATACTCTTAAGCTTAGACAACATGCTGCTGTCAACAATATTCTAATGAATACATTAAATAAAAAGCAATTGGTTTTTTGGGGGGAGGTGTCCAAAACAGAAACTAGGACAACAGACTCAGAAGGCTGCCCCTGGTCTCTTCTGACTAGGCAAAAAGAAATTTCATAGTCTATTTAGTTCAGGCTGGCTTTGAACTATATAGCCCAAGATGACTTCAAATTTTCGTCATCCTCCTGCCTCAGCCTCCTGAGTGCTGAGGTTACAGGTGTTCACCACCACGCCGAACTTGAACCAACTTCTAGCAAACACAATCAAGTGATTCTCTTTAAAGCTTTTGGATCCCAGTGGGGGACACATTAGTCCAGCACTCACATCTCTGCCTCTGTGACTCTTGGACGACACCTGCATTAGCAACTGTTAGCTGGGACAGAAGTGACAAGGGAACGGGCCCTAGAGGATCACGGCTCCCTGGCCATGTTTACTTCTAGACACTGTCGCCAGGGTTGGTGGTGCTCGCCTGTAATTCCAGCACTCAGGAGGCTGAGGCTGGAGGATCGCTGGGAGTTCAAGACCAGCCTGGACTACATAGTGAGTTCCACGTCAAACTCAACTACATAGTGAGACCCTGTCTCAAAAAACCAAAAACCAAAAACAAAACTTCTAAACACTGTCAATGTGGATTCCAGTATGAAAAGCCATGGAACTGAGAGGTTAATTCTGTCACCACCTTTGGCTAAAGCACCCCAATTTTTCTAATGTATAAAAAATTTCCTTTTTAAAATATAAGGAATCACAGGTGGGTATGGTTTTATAACTTTTTATTAGGAAACTAAGGAAAAACAACAGAATTCCAAAAAATTAAGATACAGAATTCTAATCTTAAATCTAAACATATATGAAAGCTACATCAAGAACTAAAAATCAGTTTTATCAATATTTATGAATAAAGGGGAATGGCTAAAATGCATTCACATTCTTTTTCACAGCCTCAGGTTTGCCTTTCCTCCTGCTTCACTTGGATGACAGAATTTTCCTCATGTATCTATCTATAGTCTGTAACTTTAGAGGAGCTTTTATCTTCCTACATAGTTCTCTGTTCCTCAATAAAAACCTGAGCCCCTGCCAATGAGCTTAGCCACTGTGGGGAGAGATGAGTTAATCAGAGGTCCTGTGCCAGCTCAAAGGAGCCAACACACCAATCAACAATCAATAAATAGAAATCATTTTACACAAGGTATAAAGTCAAAGAGCATGAGCTGAGCATGGATAAAATATAAAGCTAGCAGCTGGGATTACAGGTGTGCACTGCCACGCCCAACTCCTGGGCACGGTGGTGCACACCTGTAATCTCAACTCTTCAGGAGGCTGAGGCAGGAGGCTACCAAGTCAGAGCCCAGCATGAACAACTCAATGAGATCCTGTCTCAGAATAAGATACAAAAGGACTAGGGATGTAGTTCAGTGGTAGAGCGCTTGCCTAGCATCCACAAGGCCCTGGGCTTAATCCCCAGTACTGAAAAAAATATGTGTGTATAAAAAAATAAATACACACACACAAAGTAGGGGAGTTTCAAGGAAGGAAAGATTATATTCAGCTAGAGGGATGGAGGAATGTTTTATGAGAAGAGCATTTGGGTTGAGTATGGACTGCTCTTTCCTAAAAGCCTTCAAAGTGGTCGTGTCTACACAGCTCCAGTTGTGATGGTCTTGATTTCTGGAAAGTAATCTTTTCAACATTAATCTAAAACTCCTTAAGCTTCTTTGTCTTCAAACTGTTCATTTAAGATAATTTTTTAAATACTGTACTATTATTAGTCTATGTAAACATTTAGAGATTTCATTATAATTTCTATAAGATTTAAGGTTTTATAATTTTTGAAACTCCACAGTCAAATCATATCTAAAGGTCAGATTTCTAATCAGGGAGCCATGACTTCAGGTATGCGACTGGGAAAAACCTTACTTGCTTCAGGTGCTCTATCAAATCTGCATTTATAAGAAATGTAAGAGATTAGATAAATGGCAAAGCATCCAGAGGACAAATGATGAGAAAATAATGGCAACTATGAAATCATCTATTAGCCACAGAATTCCTTGTATGAAAAGTTTTAATTATGAGCCAATGAACATTACAGACTTAAAGCCTCAATATTTCTTCTTTCCTATGTAAAACCAAGTAATTCAAACAGCTTAACTCAAATATGACAGAAGACCGTATTATGAATAAGAATAATAGTAATGTTTGCTTTCACATCTGCATGCTTCATTAGAGGATCAAAGAAGTGCTCCCAGTTTCCCAAGGCAACACCAGTTCGATTATATATTTTTCCTGATTATGGTTGCAGCCAAAACATAACAAACATTTTTCATCCACAGCACAGCACTTTCCCATTACTCTTTCCTTTACCCTCAATGTCCTTATGAGGTAGTGAAGGGAGGGAGCAAGAACTCTCTATTTTGCAGATGAGAAAAGACTAGGTGAATTTTAGCTCAATGGTTCTCAACCTTGCTGGCATACTCAAAGCATCAGAAAACTTTTTAAAAATCCTCATGGGCCAGGTCATATCCCAGACCAACACCAGAATCTTAGGACATAGGACCCAAGCATAAACATTTTTAAAACTACTCTCCAATGTGACTCCCAAGCACAGCCAAGGCAGGGGACCGTGGTGGAGGGGGTTTATACTAACCTTCGGTGGACTGTCTCCCACCTAACTGCTCTCTCAGCACCAGTGGAAAAGAATCTCCCTGCACAGTGCAGCAGTGTTTTAGTCACTAGAGAGGACAGCCACTCTCTGTCTCTAGTGACAAATCCACTCATCATGTCATCCCCTGATGCGCATGCAGTGAACATCCATTTTATAGAACTTGCAAATGGGCTAGGAGGGAATTCAATTCAGATAAAATGGCTTGTTAAACATTTAGGAAATCACTGATCCTAGGTTCAATATGGAATGAATAACCATGTGTTTTTGTTTTCCAGTCAGCACCTTCAAAACGTGGTTACAAAAGAATGTTTACTGACAAGACATAAAAGAAGTTATAAACATAACTCTTAGCAAAAGCTCTGGGAATTGACCATATCACAACCTGAAAAGGCAACAAATACTTAAGAGGATTTGATCACTTTAACTAATCTTTATCCTAAACCAGTTTTTCAATCAAATTTTAAACTGTGTCAAACTGAGTTGTTCTACTCCAAGAAAAATCAATTTGTGTAACTGCTAAAACATTTAATGTATCATTTCACTCTACAAGTTTCTTCTTGACATGGGTATAAAAAAGAACCTTTAATAAATTTCACCTTTTTGAATGACCAACCACATACACATAATAAATACTTGTTAACCTTTCAAGTAGAAAAAACAGATCTTTGTTCTATGGCTGAAATCTCCTGCTTCATAGGAGTATTGATAATTTTAACTCTCAAGGAACAAGCTGCTTGCTGTCCCTAATTTTATTAGATTTTAAAATAAAATATATATACGGCAATAATCTAAAAAGTACAAAAATCTCACTTGCCTCTGTAATTTTTGTGTCTGAAATGTATACTTTCAAACAGAAAGATGTTTTGTTTCTCTTTTAACAAAAGAAAAATCTCAGCTCATGTGTGTTGGATTTTTTTTTTTTTTTTTTTTTTT